CCCCCCCCCCCCTCCCCCGCGCTTGGCTAACTGCAGGGAAGGATTTCTTATCAGCCACAGGCAAACAGCCCAGTAGGAACGGCCACCTCTGTCCCCTTAATTAAGTTCCCGTATTTCAACCAGGTTCCCATGAGCGATATCACTCTCCTGAGGATTACACAGCAAGATAAAGAACGGATGTTGCTTGAATGCCAGCAAACACCGGGACCATACGCTGCCAGGCTTTGTCAGGCAATGATACCAGATTACTTGCTGCAAGCATGGCGTGGTCAAGTGTCCTACCATGGAGGACGGAATAAAGCGGCACTGCCCAGAAACCTTGTGGCAAGGCTTTTGGAGTACCTCCAGGAGAGCTTCATGGAGATGTCCCTGGAGGATTTCCGCTCCATCCCCAGACACGTTAACAGACTTTTCCAGTAGCTGTACTGGCCACGAATGCATCCCAAGTCCTCAGGGCAAATTAATCATTAAAAAACGCTTGCTTTTAAACCATGTTTTATATTTTAAAAGGTAAACTCACCTGAGGTCCCTTCCATGGGGTCATGGTCTTGGCTACTGGCTTGGGAGGCTTGGGAGGGTACTTCAGTCAGGCTGAGAAAAAGCTCCTGGCTGTTGGGGAGAACGGAGTGCTGGGTGCTCTCTGCAAGCTCGTCCTCCTCCTCCTCTTCCCCATCCTCAGAATCCTCAGGTGTAGAGACTATCCCCGACCCGGATTCCACGATCACAGGTGGGGTAGTGGTGGCGGCCCCCCCTAGAATTGCATGCAGCTCGGCTTAGAAGCGGCATGTCCGCGGCTCTGACCCGGAGCGACCGTTTGCCTCCTTTGTTTTTTGATAGGCGTGTCTGAGCTCCTTGACTTTCACGCGGCACTGATCTGAGTCCCTATTGTGGCCTCTCTCCATCATGCCCTTGGAGATCTTTTTCAAAAGTTTTGGCATTTCGTCTTTTCGAACGAAGTTCTGCTAGCACTGAATCCTCTCCCCATATAGCGATCAGATCCTGTACCTCCCGTGCGGTCCATGCTGGTGCTCTTTTTCGATTATCAGCCTGCATGGTTACCTGTGCTGATGAGCTGAGGTATCTGTGGTCACCTGTGCTCTCCACGCTGGGCAAACAGGAAATGAAATTCAAATTTTCCTGGGGCTTTTCCTGTCTACCTGGTCAGTGCATGCGAGTTCAGGTTGCTGTCCAGAGCGGTCACAATGGTGCACTCTGGGACAGCTCTCGGAGGCCAATACCATCGAATTGCGGCCACACTAATCCTAATTCGAATTGACAAAATCGATTTTGGCGCTACTGCGCTCGTCGGGGTGGAGTACAGAAATCGATTTTAAGCGCCCTTTATTTCGAACTAAATGGCTCCGTTGTGTGGACGGGTGAAGGGTTAATTCAAATTAACGCTGCTAAATCCGAATTAAAGTCGTAGTGTAGACCAGGCCCTAGTGTTTTCATCATATCAAGCATTAAAATGGGAATGTTTTATCCCTTTAATATTCTCAGTGGTGGACTCCCAGCAGCCACAAATACATTAAAATCTACTACAGCATTGTGATCAGGGTAACTATACTGTGGACATGGCTTGACTGCAGATGTAATGTCCAGTTCTCCTTTCGATATGGTCTGTATGGATCTTTAAGAATTTGTATCTATACAGATGCTCTACTCAAAGAACTACAATTACTTCTCAGGAAACATTTTTGCATATGGCGTCTAAGATCTCCCCAGTCACTTGGCTTCCTGGTTGAGCTTAGGGACCCTGGATTTAACATGTCAGCAAGCTGTGATAGGCCTTGTCTTCACTAGGATAATAGGTATTTTAACACATGTCAAAATTCTAGGGTAATCAAAACAGTTGCTGTTACAACATGTTAGCTGGTTGAGGTAATCCCTACATTCCCCATTAGAGTTTACCTCAACCAGCTAACACGTGTTAAAATTACATCTGCATCCTCTGTCTATATTTTTAGCATGTTAGCTAAAACGTGTTTAAATATCTCTTTTCCTAGTGTAGCCGTGGCCACACATGGTACTCCCTCACACAGATAGGGCATGGGGTGGCAAGGATATGAGGGGCAGAGCTAAAGGTTTTTGGTATACCCAAATTTACTTTCCACAATTTTTATGTAACTGTGATCTCATCTTTGAATTTTCTGGCTTTCAGGCACTTGTATTTTTTTTTTTACAACAGCATACTATTAAGTCATTGCAACCTTAACTGTAAGGTTGTAAACAAGGTCCTGTGGCAGATATGGTATATCTAAGCAGGTAACACAACCAGTATATTAATGTAAAATAACAGTGGGGATCCTCTGCTGTCTGTTGTCCATGAACCAAGCACGAAGTGGTCCACCAGCTCTCTCTGGAGCAAGCTCTCACCGGCATGTCTGGCTCTGATTTGTGTATTGTGTCTGTCACCAGAGTATTAAAGTGCTGCCTACTTTGTATTGTATTAAGAGAAAGATAGTGGATTTTTAATGTGCATGAAAGTGAGGAATGAAGAGTTCCTCCATTCTGCAAGCTTCCTCTCACAACTCCATCATAGCACCATGTTCTTATTCCGGTCATTCCCTGCCCTTCCTGCTCTGGCCTTCGTGTAACTCTGTTCATGCACCTCTCCTAGCTTGAGGTTCATTCAACTTCAGTCTCAGGTCTCCCTTGAGCATTTGTCATTTTAAATGTTGTTTTCTTATTTCATTATGGAGATAATTGGGATATAAATTACTGTCCAGTTTATTTTAAAATCTCATCTCGACCCTATTCTGGATTCTGAATCCTTTGTACTCTGAGGTAATTAGTGTACATCCATTTGTGTCAAGGAAGCAAGACCTAACAGACTGAGCACAGGGCTGGGAGCCAGGAACTCTTGAGTACTGATTCCATTTCTCCTAGTGATGAGTTAATCTTGGGCATGACACCTGTATTCCTTTAGTATCCCCCCATTTCAGATAGAGAAACCTGTCTCTTCTTACAGGTGGTGTGAGGCTTAATAATTCTACAGTGCTACAGCAGTGCTAAGTATTGTTTGAGGCATTTTGAAGCAGGTTGTGGGTTGATGGCAATTCTAAGCGGTGTTACCAGCACTTATGTCCATTGTAAAGCATTTTCTTTATGTAGATAACAATTCTCTTCTCCCAGTAATTCCAAAGGCAATTTCTGGAAGGCAAGCAGGGTGGATTTGATTTAAATCATTAGTCAGGAAGACTCGATTTAATCATGGATTTCTACATAAAAGTGTATTCTTGTTGGTTGTTATAACCTTACTACATATTCTTCACAACTCAGAGAAAGATGTAAGTTTCGTTTTTAGAAGGTACGCACTATACATTTTTAAGTGATTTATTTTGAAAACTTTTCAGATTAGTTTTACTGCTGTATCAGAAAATGATTGTTTGGTTATTTCATTTACCAAAGGTAACTGAAGCAGATAGTTCACCTCCCAATGATTTCATAAATATCTCCAATTCAACAGGTTACTCATTAATATTTGGTGGGCTTTATTTCCATGCTGTATTAGGAGAACATCACCAGGCAGACATTTTAAATTGTTTTATTTAACTAAAACAACAACATTATGGATTCTGGATTTATTTCTTCAACAGCAAACATATAATATTTTAACAAAACAAGTATATTAATTTTTGAATTTAAACATTCAAAAGCATGTTATCTCTGCAGACACAAATCCACAGTTTGAGAACTGCAAAATTAAGCATCTCTGATGGTATCTTCTAGACAGAACACTGAGTCCCATTGGGTAGATAGAAAGATTAACCTAAAAGAAGCCCCTGGAGCCCCATAAGATTGGGTCCCTAATCCATGAACTATTGGAACTCATTTACAAAACTTTTCTTAAACATTACATGAATATATTGTCTTATACTATAGAATTAGAATTTATAATCCCTATTCCATGATGAGATATCTTTAGTTTTAATGAAAATACATTATAGCTCATTTTTAGATAGGTTTTTCCCTCAAAAAGCATTTTATAAAAACTAATTTAAAAAAAAATCATTGATTTTTATCCACCCTGAAGGCAAGTGAGACACTTGGGGGGGAGGGATAGCTCAGTGGTTTGAGCATTGGCCTGCTAAACCCAGGGTTGTGAGTTCAATCCTTGAGGGGGCCACTTAGGGATCTGGGGCAAAATCAGTACTTGGTCCTGCTAGTGAAGGCAGGGGGCTGGACTCGATGACCTTTCAAGGTCCCTTCCAGTTCTAGGAGATGGGATATCTCCATTCATTCAATTCAATTCATTCATTCACTACCTATTACATTTCCTTCTCTAGCATCTCACGGTTACTAGCAGGCCAGCTCCTGCTCAGCTGCTTTCATAGCAAGGGATCCTTTTTGGACTATTGTTTTCTAATTGTGTTCTTTTTTCCTCTCCTTGCAGGTGAGACTAGTTTGGGGATGTGAACACAATGAGTGTAAACCAGCAAGCTCACACAGGGCTTCCTTATGGGCAGCCTCAGCCTGGATATCAGGGATACCAACAGTCTGGTTATGGAGGGCAGCAAATGCCTGGAGTTCATCATTCTCAGTATGGCGCTTACAATGGTCCGCTGCCAGGATATCAGCAGCCAGCCCCTCCACAAGGTACTCTTAATCAAGACTTAGCAACTTAATAGCCTGTGAGTTTGAGTGCATTGGGAATGCTTTTCCAGAGCTGATGGCCTACTGTTAGCTAAATTAATATTTTATGGTATAACTTCTCTTTAATATGAACAATACTGTATGCTAACTCTTCAGAAGTCAAGGTAAAAAGTAGGTTTTCTTGTGGTGCAGCCTCACAGTGTTGCTTATCATTTGGTTGCATAGAAGCCATTTGAGCAGCTCACTAGGACTTAAACTTTTTTAGTAGCCCACAAATTAAATGTTGAGAAGGCCCAATGGCAGCTTGTTCCCTATAGTTCCCCACTCATGTGGTCCAGGAGCAAGAATGCACAGGACAGTTTCCATGCTAAGCTTGGATTGAGGGCAGTAATAGACTGATAACAGGCCATGTGACTGAGGCAGCTCCATATTCATCTGCAGAAAAAACCTGTGGATCACTCTTGCTCCTGAAAGATGAGGGCATGCGATCTGTGATAGTGTTGGTGAAATGACTGGTAATACTGTGGCCACGTGTGTAATAAATAAATGTTACCAATTTAAACGGATTCTGTTAATGATAGTCAAAATTAGTTCTGCTTTTATTTTGCATCTGTTTGCAAGGCAGATGTAATGTTTTTCTCCATCTTCAAAACAAATGCTGTTGTAACAAAATAATTCAGTGTCAGCAGGTAAGCAACTAAAGAGCAACTCTGCTATATACACCTCTACCCCGATATAATACGAATTCTGATATAACACGATAAAGCAGTGCTCCGGGGGGGGGGGGGAAGGGGGCCTGTGTACTCTGGCGGATCAAAGCAAGTTCGATATAACGCGGTTTTACCTATAACGCGGTAAGATTTTTTTGGCTCCTGAGGACAGCGTTACATCTAGATAGAGGTATAGTATGATAGAGGTGAAGAAACTGAATAAGAAATGAAGCTTAATTTTCATGTTTTTAATTTGCTTTTCATAAAACAATTTGAAAATATTACCTTTTAATGTCTGTAAAGAGTTGGATTCCTAGGGCTAAAATTCTGTCACTCTGGGCATAGGTACTTAATATGATATCACCATCACAGCCTTCAGCCCTTCACCTTTTAATAGTGTAACACATTGTGTGCATGATTTAAATCACTTCTACTAAGATGACAGTAGTTCAAATTTTCGTTAGGGACCACTATGGAAAGTTTAATGTTTGTCTTTTTACTGTAATCAGTGTCTGGAAGTTATTTCTGGGGGGAAAAGATAACATATTCTCTGTTCACTCCTTTTGATGTCTATGAAATGAAATTGCCAAGTGGCTTCCTGTCTGATACTACAGTGATTGTAAGGCATGAAAGTACTTTTCTTTTCAAGACCAGTGGCTGTTTTTATTTTTACCCCTTTCCGCTGAGTTCTGTTTTGGTTGCACTAGCAATAAAACACTGCTCAATTACAGATGTAGCTGAAATACTATTTGCAAAAATCTAAGATCCTGAATGCCTCAGTAAATTGGTGGCAATGGGATATGAACCTTTTTGCCTCTAGATCACCAGAACAAAACCAGCTCAGGTCAATAGTGACTGAAAGGTGTCAATATCTGATGGCTGTTGGTTGGTCGAAGTGCAATGAGCTTGGTCTGACCTGTTCCCAGTGGACAGAGGCTCACATCCCAAAATACCATTTTACAATAAAGATAAGACCAGTGATTAAATGGGGCACGGGGCCTACTTTCCATGTCATGCTTAGAGGTGGTTCTCTCAGGTTATAGTGGAAGCATATTAGTGGGATAGTGTGAAGGATGCTTGAATTACCTGATTGTGTGTACTGTACCACTTTTGCAGATAGTTCCAGGGACCAAAGCCTTTAATCTATCAGTCCAGCACTTCTCACCGGCGTGAAATTGACTAGCTCTTTTAAAAAGCTTGTATATGACTGGGGAGGAGGAGAGAAGAAATGTAGTATGCTCTGAGTATTAACATAACAGCCAGAAGTGGACATTTGTTCCTATGACTGCCAGACATGAGATATGGGAGGGAAATGGAGGGAGACAAGCAACACAGCATCAGGGGAGGACAGATGAAGTTATAGTGAATTTAAATTAGATGAACGGATCCTTAGTCTGAGGGACATGAAACTACTGACACTGACATATATTCCTGAAACTTCAGCTGAGGGTTAAGTACTTCATCAAATTTTTTTTTTACTTGGTTTTGTATTATCAGGGACCTGATAAACGTGCAGTCATATATATTACTTTAAATGCAGGCAACTTTAAAAGGATTCAAGAGGTGGGGTGGTTTTCCCAGCAACTTCTCCCTTGCTCTGCTGCTTGCATCACCTTCTGGAGCCGGCCAACTTCCTTCTCTCATTCTTCCTTTTTTTGGCCAGCTGTCTGGCCATCTCTTCTCCTCCCTATCACATATAAAGGTGTATCTCACATAATGGTGGTAGGATTCATTTGCTCTGCATGATGTATAGGCCAGTCCAGAATCGTAAGGGGCTGGCAGAAATTTAGCACCATGTAGCTTCAGAATTGCAGTTGGGACTACATTTAAAAAACAGTAGCGAGGGATCTAAAAAAGATGGCTGCTGTGCCATGCTTTTAGAGGAGAAATCCCATTTTCTGATCTGACTTTTATAGTAGTGATAGTCCCAGTTGGTAGCAGAGTAGAAGAGGTGCCATGCCACTAGTTTTCACTGTAAGTGGGATAAAGACATGATGTCACGCTATTGACTTGAGCAATAGCTAGTTCTTGTTTAGGCTTTTGCGAACAGGGCTGCTAACAGGGAGTTTTGCAAGGGAGTTCTCCAGGTGAAGGAGGAGCAAATACAGGACCTTTGGGGACTGTGTGCTGTGGCTGGCTGAAGTACTGTGAGCTTCAAAGTAAGGTTTGAAAGCTAGAAGCCTCAGTTAATTGGCTGAGCCTTAGTCAGTGGGCGGGGCTATCAAGAAGGCCAGGCCTTTATAAAGCAATGAGCAAGCGGCCAGGGAGCTTTGCTAACAGGGAGTTTCGCAAGGGAGTTTGGAAGTGGAGTGGGGGTAAGGTTCACTTGCCGTTCTTTAAAACCTGTAAACTAACTATATTCAAAACTTCTTGATTTAAACAATACCCTTTCATTAACTTAGGTAGCTGTAGGAGAGAATGCAGGCAGAAGCCCAGCATCAGAGTGGGGGCTACCCAGTTTATTGCGCTGGGTGCAGCATGTATGATTATCTGCCCTGTGGGCGGGTGGCGTATATGTGCATTCGGTGTAAGGAGCTCTTGGCCCTCAGAGACCGCGTACTGGCTTTGGAGGCCAGGGTGGCGGAACTGGAGGAGCTAAGGGGGAGCAGAGAGGTATGTTGATGAGGCTTTCCGGGACACTGTAGAATTGTCCCACCTCCGGTCAGACAGCCCCTGTGCTGTTGAGGAGGATGAAAGGTCCAGGGAAGTAGAGCAGTCAACGGGAGCAGAGGGAAACCTTCCCATATTTGGAACCCTCCTTCCAGATGGTGTTGGGGGTATCCTCTCGCACTGAGGTTACCTCTCCGGGGGAGGGAACTCCAGTCACTAGGAAAAGGCAGGTGTTAGTAATGGGAGATTAAATCATTAGAAACATAGATAGCTGGGTTTGTGATGACCAGGAGAAACCGTATGGTGACTTGCCTGCCTGGTGCGAAGGTTGTGGATCTCTCGAGGCTTCTAGATAGACTTATATGTAGTGCTGGGGAGGAGCCGGAGGTCGTGGTACATGTAGGTACCAGTGACATAGGGAAGGGTAGGAGAGACGTCCTGGAGGCCAAATTTAGTCTGCTAGGGAAGAGACTGAAATCCAGGACCTCTATGGTGGCATTCTCAGAAATGCTCCCAGTTCCACGCGCAGGGCCAGGTAGGCAGGCAGAGCTTCAGAGTCTCAATGCGTGGATGAGACGATGGTGTAGAGAGGAGCGGTTTAGATGCATTAGGAACTGGGGAAACTTTTGGGATAGGGGGAGCCTATACAGGAGAGATGGGCTCTACCTAAACCAAAGTGGAACCAGACTGCTGGAACTTAACATTAAAAAGGTTGCAGAGCAGTTTTTAAACTAAGAGATGGGGGAAAGCCGACTGCTGTAGAGGAGCACATGGATCGGACAGAGACTTCTCTTAGAGGAGAGTCTAGTGATAGAGATTCTCTAGGTTTTAGTCAGGAGGAGAGGATGGAAGAGGATAATCTAGGGGCCAGATCAGACAAGAAACATTCACATAAAAAAGAATCGGACACATCAGAAAAGGGCAGACAAATAAACAGTGACAATTTTTTAAAGTGCTTGTATATAAATGCTAGAAGTCTAAATAATAAGATGGGTGAACTAGAGTGCCTCGTGATAAAGGAGGATATTGATATAATAGGCATCACAGAAACCTGGTGGACTGAGGACAATGAATGGGACAAAATCATTCCGGGGTACAAAATATATTGGAAGGCCAGAACAGGTCGTGCGGGGAGGGGGGGGAGGGGAAGGGGAAGGGGAGTGGCAATACATGTAAAAGAAAATGCAGAATCAAATGAAGTAAAAATCTTAAGTGAATCCACATGTTCCATAGAATCTCTATGGATAGTAATTTCATGCTCTAATAAGAATATAACATTAGGGATCTATTATCGACCACCTGACCAGGACAGTGATAGTGACGATGAAATGCTAATAGGCTATCAAAATTAAGAACTCAATAATAGTGGGGGGATTTCAATTATCCCCATATTGACTGGGAACATGTCACCTCAGGACGAAATGCAGAGACAAAATTTCTCGATACTTTAAATGACTGCTTCTTGGAGCAGCTGGTACAGGAACCCACAAGGGGAGAGGCAACTCTCGATTCAGTCCTGAGTGGAGTGCAGGAGCTGGTCCAAGAGGTAACTATAACAGGACCGCTTGGAAATAGTGACCATAATATAATAACATTTAACATCCCTGTGCTGGGAAGAACACTTCAACAGCCCAACACTGTGGCATTTAATTTCAGAAAGGGGAACTATGCAAAAATGAGGGG